CTAGCCTTGGCCACTGGCTACATATGAGGCCACTATTGGAAGGCACAGCACACATCTGCCAGCTGCAGCTGGCTCAGAATGACAGGCAAGGCTGAGAGCCCAGAGAAGTAAAAAAAAAAAGAAAAGAAAGTGCCTTGACAACAACAGCAAAAATAACCCCCAATGCCCTAATATATTTAGGCTCTGAGCCACAGCTAGCTATGGGCATCCAATTTTTTTTCAAGATCTGTAAAGTATACAGGAGAATGGAGGGGAGAATGTCAAGAGAATACCAGGCAGCTGGGAGCACATTCTGCTATCAATAAAGTCTCGTTCCAAATTGGAATGGTCTGGGGGGTATGCAGGATTCCTGTGGATAGATGGGGGGGGGGGGTTGGGGGGAGGAGAAAGAAAGCAAAGAGGATGTCATTTGTGCCAAGGGATTTAGAGGCTTGGAATTTCTATGAAGGGGATGGGGGAGAAACTTATAGTCCCTCCCCGCTCTTTCCTAACTTTTAGGCTTCAAGCTCTCACTAATTCACCTTGCAGCGAGAAAGGTCCACTAAAATTGCCCTGTTTGATTTCGTTTCTATTACTTAGACAAAAGATGGGAATTGGTGGGTCTTTGTTCTGTTTTTTTTTTAGAACTTTCTTGGAGGTTGCTTATTACTGTAAAAAAGAAATCAGCCTCATTTAGCAGTTGGAGATCAAGTATAAAGTTCGGATGATGTCCAGGGTTCGCTAATTTATCAGGCCAGTTATCATAACATATTGAACTTGGTCTGAAAGAACTGTTGTCATGGGCAACAAGTCTGATTCCTTGTTCAAAATATGGTCCAATATGTTTCTTAACATTGAGGTGATATTGAGTAATGAATTGAACACAGCTGTTAAATTATTGGGGAACCTTATTCTCACAAGACGAGGATATCACCCCTAAAGAAAACTCCATTTAATTGTATGAGATTTAGTAACTGCTTCATTTATTAATTAAGGTTGCAATCCAAATAATTCTTTGCTGAATTAAGCTTCATCAAAATTAATAGGACTTATTTTAAATAAATAAACATAATTTTGAAAGTAACAAGTGCAAAGTTGTCCAGGTGACTGGTTGCAGCTGGTTCCACTTCTTAAAATTCCTTCCAAGTAAGAGAGATAATTGGATGCTTTTTAAATGCTGTCGGGTGCTAATAATGGACACTGTTAACAATGACCTATAATGAAATTTCCCAACATATAAGTACTTTTAAATATTATTTTGACATACAGTGGTGGTTTCCATCTTGTAACATTCCTTCTCCTCAATTTTCCAACTCCTTAAAATTTTTTGGCAATTGGATCTTCAGTCAGGACACCAGGGCTGAACTCTAGATGGGAGATGGAAGATGGACACTTGATGGAAGGATGCCTTCTCTTCTCTTGCTCTTAATATTTAGAAGATGAATCTAACCTCATATTTTTGGCTGAGCAACCTGGTGCTTGAGGAGATTGGAGTTACTTTCAGTAGCTTCTGTGGTGCAATCTTCTCTTTATAATTTCTTGGCTCAGCTACAGAATTCCTTCCTGAGGAAATCCTTCAGGTCCTGCTTTTTGGAGGGATTGGCAAAAAAAAGCCTCTATGCAAAGAACTTTTGGAGAAGCAAAAGTGGAAGTGAGGAAGGGTGACTAGGAATTACCCTTTAGTCAATGGGAAAGGAGAAAGCAACTCCAGGAGTTGCTTCAGGCTTCCTTGTGGCAGAAAAGTATTCTCACACGTCCCCTCCTTTAAATAAAGGGAAGCTTCTGTGCACAGAAAAGGAAGATATTTCAGGGGAAAGTTAACCTATCCTTTCAGAAGAACAAAAACAAACACTGCAGCTAGCAACCAAGGTCAAACAGAGAGCAACCATTACAAATACAGGATACAGCTCCTTATAAAGTATGAAAACTGCTTCCTGTCTTTCTCTTTGAAGTCATGGCAGAAAATACCACAGAGGCACAATTTTTAAAATCCTGTAAACTAACATATTATTATAAAGAACTGCTGTTCTGAATAACTTTCACCAGTGTTATTTTTTCAAACAGGAAAGAAAATACTGGAAGTTTAGTTAAACAAAAAGAAAAGGCAGGCAAGGGAAAGAATACACACACACACACACACACACACACACACACACACACACACACACTCCTTTACAGTATAGAAATACAGAATAAACAGGTGTTTGTTTTGCTTAAAAAGGTTGAATTGGGGAAAATTTATATGGAGCTTTGGGGGTTTTAGACCTTGGGAGAATGCAGCTTAGTGATCATTAAAAAGTTATGTGGACCCCCCACAAGCTACTTATGACCAGTTTTTAAAGTTATGAAGGCCACCCCATCCACTGTGGATTCTTGAAAGCATCTTGGGCATTTGGTAATTAGCTTGCTTACCTTTATGGTGATTTGCAATATTCCACAGCCATGTGACTGTGATTGGTGACTTTTTTGCTCCTGCTTTTACTTTCAGTTCCTGAAAAAAAAATGCCAGTTGGGGAAAATTGATTTACTTAAAGAGCATGGCAATCACTTAATGACTGCTTTAAAAAAATTGGGTCTGGTCACATGATGCTTCAACTTATGTCCATAATAACTTACAACCATAACTCTGTGTTCAATTAGGTTTGTAAACCGAAGACTATCTGTACAGAAAACCATAGTTCTTTATTTCCAACATTAGTTTCTCCAGTTTTTTGCACTTTGAACATAGCAACTCTAATTTCAAAGGAAGCAACCATAGACATCAGTGGAAGCTTTTATTTTAGATCTAATATCAGATTGGAAGGAATAAGAAAGAAAGAGCTTAATCTCAATTCTGATTGGATGAATTTTTCTCCCTTTCTTCTTGATCAGCTGGAAGGTAAGCAATGATTAGCATTATTTCTCAGGACTTTGAAATCTCCAGAGGAGTAGATGGCAGTCTGGTTTCATAATGCTTTCTGAGGAGATTGGGGGCAGAGAAACATTGTGGTCTGCAAGTATCTTTACTACCCACATCTAAATCAGTGTGTATGCTATTGGGTGGTCCTGTAACAATATCATCTGGGATCATTCTTAGCCAGTTGTAAAGATACCATCAATTGTTTAGAATAACCCTCAGAGTAAATAAATCAATGAATCCCATTTCTAGCAGAGTTAAAGATGCAGTTTATGTGGATTTAGCATAGCAGCTCTACACTAAACTTTCATTGATAATCTTGGATGACATAAGATATTCAAGGCTAATGGCTAAGCACTACTGTAGCACCATTTGGCTATTACACAAGGCCTCTCATAGTCTTCACAAAGTGAATGCCTTTCATAGTCTTCACAGACTGGACTGTGGACATCTATTACACAGACGTTTCTTGGGAGCAATATGAAAAACTGAAAAATAAGAATTTAATTGTGTGCATACTTGAAGTTGCCTTACTTTTATTGCAAAGAGAAGCTGGACGTATTGCTAAAATCCTAAGAAACTAAACAGAGAACCCTGAGAAGAAGTGATAACATTTCTTTGAATTTGTGATATCCAGAGGAGGAGGAATGATATTATCTGTGAGTTGATCATATTTGCATGTGGCTACCATTTAAGTGACATGTTTACTGCATGCTGGGATAAGATGGGGTGCAATGGAAATTACCAAGCCTCTAGCCCAAAGCAGGAGGCAGGCCAAAGTATGAAGACACGGAGGCTTCTAACAGAGGAGGTATCAGGTTGACAATCTCAACTGTCCTACTGCATTATAACCATCCTATTCTATATTAGAAAGCCATTCAATAGACTTGCTAAAAGCTGGCTTTAGAAAGATTTTTGGTGGGATGTGGAGGCACGTTATGCCTCAAAACTGCATGCTTCAGAATGGAGTTTGGCTTACATTTACATTCAAGAATTTCCAAAACTCCAAGCTGGCTAATACTTATAATGTTACACTGTTTATTCAGTACAAACTGAGTGGAAATGTTCAGTTAAACAGTAATGGTTATTTATAGTAACACATCTGCTTATAGTCTTTGGGCTCTTTTGCCTAATAGAAGGCATCATCTTTGTGCTAATTTCTGCTTCTTTTGGGTGGTGGAGTTCTCCTTAACATGTAAAGTGTTGGTTCATTGACTTGCTACTCTTTGATTAGATCCCATTTCATAACACCATGTTGCATAGAGATAAGTTTCTTCAGTGCTTTCAATGAAGCAATCTCAGTCCAGTTATACTTGTGTACAGTAAGTATCTAGTTGTTGCATCTATTGTCTTATTTTGGTACTTATGGTGCCCTATATCTACTTGAATTCAGCTTCTGGGCTTGAGTGTTTGTTGGGTTGATCTGTGCTTCTGAGGTGTGCCTAGTAAAGTGCTAGCTGGCATAACTCTTTCTGAATCCAAGTCTTCCTTGTGGCCCAAAGCAATGTTTTAGATCAGATCCTTGCCCTTCGGTTGCTTCTTCTTCTGAGAAGCAACTATAGTGGTTATTTAGACAATTTCCATTTCACAGGATATGTTCCAGCCCCAAAATCATTTGCCTACAGTATTTTAGATATCTGACAAATGCTGTTTCTTTAGCCATATTCTTTGCAAATATTTCTGGCTCTTTGTGGAGTTCCTGCAATTGGAGCATGTGAAATGTCTGTTCTGAATGGTTGGCTTTAGGCTGTGGTTTGGTCTCAGAACAAAGTTAAAAAGTAAACAATCATGAACATTTAACCAAGGCTATTTAGATGGGCTAAATGATTTCCCTCTAATTTTCCTTATCTCTTTTACTTCTCTTTTACTTCTGAAATTATTATTTTCTGTGCGTTATTTAGGATTTTAACAGCGTTTTATTTTATTTATTATTTCCCCCATCTCCAATGCTTTTCTGATTTATTTGTAGTCTTTGTGTACTATCCTATGATTCGATTGACTCCAAGCCACTCACAATATTGTTGCAAAAGCATCCTGCAAAGTGTGAGGTTTGTGGCATTCTGATCTTACTCTCTGTATTTTCCAGATTGTAAGATAAGATAACCTTTATTGCCATTTTTTGAACATTATGATGAACAAGTAAGAATTAAAGTCTTTTGTTTTCCTTCTCTGCAGAAAATTTGTATAGCTTGGTTCTGATTTTGTTACTGTTCTGTCCTGCTCTTACTCTGAATTTGTTTGCTCTACTTTTCCTATTTTCTTTGGTGTATCTGGATTTACAAATAACACTGGGTCTTTAGTATCTCAAAAATATTGACAATATCTTCACATTTTATATTACTGGTGTTTTCTTCACCATAAAGATATGTGGTCAAATAAAATGGTAACTTTCTTAAGTTTAAAATTGATACATTGAGACTCAAAGGGTCACACACTGGTCATCTTCTGTGCAAGACTATGTTGGTGTATACTGAGTTTCCTCTCGTCACAAGTAGTGATAGTAGCGGTGAGAAAGAAAGAGAGATGATGTGTGAGCTCTTGCTACCAGATCTAGTTTGCAAAAATCTAGGTAACCACAAGATGACAACAAAGAGATATAGAAGTTCCTAACTCTCTGCTATGGTCTAGTGATCATGAGCAAATTTTATATACAAATTTCATATATAAATAAGTTGCTAATGTGTAGCTCTCCAGTTGTCACTGCAATCTACTATCCCTCACCTTGGACTAAACTTACTGAAGTGACCTTAATTAAAATTGAGCAAGCTCACAGGATCCCCCTTTGATCTCCCTTTCCCACCATCAGACAAAAACACATTGATTAGACACACCAAAGTTTCTCCTTTGGAATCTTTTATTAACGTATAGAAAATGCATTAAAAAAGGAACTATACAGAGCCTAAGAGCAATCAGGACTAAAAATACTAGTTAACAATGGTTAACAAGCGTATATCCCATTCTGTAAGCTACGGTTCCATTATGGGATCATCGGGAGGGCAATTGCTTTTTTTTCCCCTCTCCCCCTCATTCTTTTTCACCGGTAAGATTTAGTCTTTGGAGTCTTTCTGAGGGAGCTTTCATGTCATTTGCTTCTTCTGTCAGAAAATAAGTTCAGTTCTCGAATTATACATATTCCAAGGAGAGGGCCCATCTTTTAAAAAATATTTTTAAAACTCTTCTGGCAAGAGGCGCTAGCCCAAATATAAGAACTCTTAGACAGTTCAATATCTCAGCTGGATCTGATCCTAGTTCCCCCAGCTTCCTCCCATCCCATCTATTTTTCCTTGCAGACATAGCAATACCTGAACCAATGTAGCACTCATCCTCCTTTAGGCAGTATTACTGGATTACGTGGCATGTAGATCTAAGGGTACAGAAAGTCATCAGCAGAGCACCTAGTGACATGCCTGAACAGGAGAAAAAAAGGAAAAATGTCTATAGGCAGGGACACAAAATGAAAAGGGGGTTACTGTTTTCGGCATTCTCAGAGAACTTCAGAGTCACAGTGGTTTATCACAAAGGGTTCCTTTTGGCTGGAGAGGGCAGTGCTTAATTTAATAATTTTGGCCCATTCTGCCTGTTAGGAGGTTGAGAAATAAAGAATAGGAAAAGATACTATCCACCTAGAGCTTATTGTAAGGACTTTTTAAAAAGTCACACTCCTTCATTGTATACATAAACATGCATTTATCCAAGCCTCTCCTTATCTAAGCCACTGCTATCAGATTACCATGTACAAAGAAGGATCAATTAAGCAAAATCGTGTCTTTAAGGGGAAAGTAATCTGTATGGAGTGATATTATGGATGTGCCTTAGGATACTAGTGGATGCCAGTTTCATATACTATCACAAGAAAAATGACTACAAGCAACCTAAAGTATCTCATCTCCTTTGTGTCATGCATGTATTCCTTTGTGTGGAATTTGATGTTATGTCCAAAATCTGCCTCAGCTGAAATAGTAGAAGGTATGTCTCACTGCAAGAAACAATTCAAGTGGGAGGGTCTGATCCAAGGCTTACATCAGAAAGGCTCCCTGGACCTTAAAGAGTTGTGCTGAAGAGAGAATTTTAGATAAACCGAGTACTGCTAAAATTCCTAGTTTCACACAACTCTTAAGGATGCAAAGCTTTGGTCCTCTTTTGTCACTGGGTACTTTTATGGGAAGATGGATGAAATTATTAATCCATGTTGTTCTAGTGATTCCTCTCTTGATGCTCTATGCATGGTCTGTAAGTAGTAGTAGTAGTAGTAGTAGTAGTAGTAAGCCCACATGGAAGTCACTTTCTCAGAGTGGGGATGTTACATGCTTTGATGCTGAAGACTATGCTAAAGTACCTGTGCTGCCATAATTTTCAAGCAAGCCAGAGAGTTACGAACTAAGAAACCTGACTAAGTATCTCCAAAACCCATTAATAAAGGTTAAAAACAAGAGAAACTGATTTCCATGCTAGGTTGTCATTACCAAGTCAACAAGGATTGTGCTGGTCACGATGGCTCTTGGGAATGCAGTGTCAAGTGTGCTAGAGAACTTTGTCCACTTTTCTAGGGCGCTAGCATATAGGAATGCAATGCAGTTAGACGGCAAAAGAAAAAAAAAACAGAACTGGGAATATCAGTTCATCATGGAATTATTAGTTTGTCAAAGTTAACTATTAAACATTCCAAAAGTAAATGGTTGAAATGTGGAAGCAATGATTCCTGAATTCAAATACAATTGAACAAAAATAATGGATTAACATGATTAGCTGATCATTAGGTGATCATTTTGTTAAAAACAAACTTGTCTCGAAGTAAAACTAGGAATAATTGAGCAGATAATGAAGAATATTTTTGTGGAACTTAATGAAAACCAATGGGTAGCAAATTTATTCTCTGAAGGCATGATAGAAAATGCAATTGAAGAAAATTTAGAAGAATACTTTGACCAAGAAGTATAATAAATAATTGAACAAACAATTGGAAAGGTTTTACATAACTGATTGGCAGAATGAATTGGAAAGAATAGTAACAATTCAAATGAAAGAATTAGAAAGGGTATGATTTTCACATTAAATGCAAATAAAAATGAATGCTTTCACTTTATTTTGCAAGATAATAATATGGTAAGCAAAATTATTCAAACATGAAATATGACAGAGAAAAATAAACTGATATTATTCCAGAATTCTGTAAGTCAGGATATTTAGTGAAGGAAATTAAAAAAGAAAATCTGACTTGAACAAAAAGTAAAGAAAAAGAAAATAAAACTTCAGAAGATTTAAGTCACTTGAAGAATTTGAAATAGTGCAGCCTTAGAAAAAAATCAACCATAGTCCTGTAGAGTGGTATAATATTGGTCTTGGCCAATATAGAAGTTTCAGAAGTGAAGAAATGAATTATGGCAATAGCCCAGAAAAGCGAGCATTATAAAATAGGATTAAACAGTTCAAGCAAAATGTTTTATTTTAAGCAAATTTTATTTTGTAAAAATCATGATTGGGCAAAAATTTGAAACAACTACAAGACTGGATAAAGGAAAACTATTTTGTTTAGGAAGGTTTCATGGAAAAATAAAGCAGAATATAAGGTAGAATGAATAATAAAAAATGAAGAACATATTTGAAGGAAAACAAATGAAAGGGATCATTATACAACTGAATTCTTTAACTGCAAACCATAAGAGTAAAAATTCAGAATGAACCCAGGAAGGGATAAATTCAGGGGTGGGATTCAAATTTTTTAACAACTGGTTCTGTGGGTGTTTCTTAGTTGGTGGGCATCGCTAGGTGGTCATGTTATTGGCTGGGCGTGGCCAACTCAATATCATTCTCATCGAGGCACGCATCTCGTCGCCTGGCCTCTCATGACTGTGGGGATGCTGCAACAGTCGTAAGTGTGAAAAATGGTCATGTCACTTTTTTCAGTACCATTGTAACTTTGAATGGTCACTCCACACCAGCAAAGGAGGGGAAAAAACCTCCAGAGGTTTCCTGAGACAGGAAGTCTAATCCTACCAAGAATGTAATAAGGGTTAACAGAGAGGCAGTTTCTGTAAGCAACACCAGAATGTTTCCTTCCTGCCTTCCTTACAGGATTAGGCCAATAATTTCTTCTATCATCCTTAGAATGTTAACAACTGGTTCTAGCGAATAGGTGTGAACTGGTAGAATCCCACCCCTGGATAAATTTTACAGTTTTGGGATTAAATACCTTGCAAATCTATATTCTAAATTAGCAACATAGCTAAATAAGCTTCTGTAAATGGTAAAGAATGAAGAACAGATGACAGTGGGAAGAATCTTTCTAATATGAAAAAAACTAAAGTGAAAGGCACTAATCCTGACCACTATAAGCCTATTACTTGTTTCCACTGCCGCTTTATCTTTTTAGCAAAATGGAACTTTTAAAAATTCACATGGCACGCAAACCAGAGATTAATTGACAAGGTGATTAATTAAAAACTTAAAAGAGAAGAAGTTTTTTATTGCTTACTTAGACTATGAAAAAGTGCTTGGCTCACTTCCATGTATGTGGACTAGAAAATGCCTAGAAATTTTTGGGATTAGTAAAACATTAAAGTGTTGATGAATGCATAAAATAAATCTAGTAGCCAACAGTGAAATTTACTGGCAAAGTCAAAACTGAATAATTGATGATGTACTACCATGTTTCTCATAAAATAAGGCCGGGTCTTATTTTTTTTTGAGCCTCGAAAAAACGGCTAGGACATCTTTTCGGGGGTGACTTAATTTCTTCCCCCACGCACACCTCCACCTAGAGTGCCCCATGCGCACTCACCTCTCCCTGAGGCTGCCACTGGAAGTTCCCCAAAGGTAGAGTCACCAGCCGCTTCTATCGGCCGGTAGAAGCGGTCTCGGGGCAAGCACCCACGCGCACTCACCTTGCCATGAAGCTGTTTTTATCAGCCAAAGGAAGCTCTCCAAAGGCAGAGTCACCAGCCGCTTTGGGGTGAGGCGTGGCTGCCCACAGGGCGCTCCTGAGAGGAGCACCCCATGCACACTCTCCTCGAGGCCATTTCTATTGGCCAATGGAAGCTCCCAAAAGGCAGAGTCACCAGCCGCTTCCATCGGCCAATAGAAATGGCTTCATGGCGAGGGGAGTGCGCATGGGAGAGCGGGTACAAACTTTTCTTAGCAGAAGGGAAGCAAACTGAGTCTCTCTCTCTCTCTCTCTCTCTCTCTCTCTCTCTCTCTCACACACACACACACACACACACACACACACCACCCCTACTAGCCCTCGTCCCTGCACCGGGTCAGCCAAGCCCTTCTGGCGAGAGAAGGTCTCAGCATCTGCGAGGTTCCCACTGCCGCCCTCCCCTCCCCAGGCCAGACCTTTTCCGGGCACCCTGCCAAAGTCCCAGCGCAGCCGACCTCCCTTTACCTGCTGCCACCGCTGGTTTGGGGAGCGGGGGGGCCACCAGGAAGGGAAGAGGAGGCAGCAGAGCTCGGCTACCCTTAGAAGGGAGATCGGGCGGGCTCCTGAAAGGAGACGTAGGAACGGTCCTCATAGGAATGCAGCGGGGAAGCGGGGTGAGTGTGAAAGGGTCGCCGCCATGGCACAGGAGGGCGGGAGGGAGCTGGAGCGAAGAAGGGCAGGAGAGAAGCTAAACTGTCCTTTCTATTGCTCTGGTGAGGGCCGAATATTTGCAGGGGCTGGTTGGAAAGGCCTAATTTTAGTATGAACCTTGAGTCATGGTGGGGGGAGCTGAATGGCGAAGGCACTCTGCACGTGATCCAAGGCAATCCTGCCACAGCTCACGGGTGGCGTTGCTAACAGTTGGGGGAGTCTGATAACTTCAGCGATGCCTCCTTCTCTCTCTCTCTCTCTCTCTCTCTCTCTCTCTCTCTGAGCACCTGAAAGAGTGCCCATCATTAACCAATTAACCAATGCCAATCTTGGAATCCCTTATTTCGGCATAATTTGGGAGAGAGAGGAGCCATAAAACCAGGGACTTGGCGACAAGGTGCAGGTTCTTTTTTTTTTTTTGATTGAATTCAATCACGAGACATTTCTTGATTTCATCAGACGTCGGAGGCGTTCAGAAGAACTTTTGAAAAACTTGTGGGTCTAACTTTGAGAAGCAATGAGTTTGGTCCTCTCAAATGGCGGAGGTTCGGGATGGTCTTTGGAGACCTCCCCTCTCTTTTAGCTGAGGGAGACCTGGGCGATTTTAGGCTAAAAGCTGCCCTGGGGAGATTGATCAGAGAATGGGCAAGAAAGCAAAACAAGAATAAATTTGGGCTAAGGTGTTTTCTCCCATTCCCTCTGTCACAATCTCACAATTTTCATCCAGACACAGATACGCATGTGCTTTCTCTCCTGCCCCACTGGTAGATTCAAAGACAACTAATGCGAGCTCCCCTCACGAGGCCATTTCTATTGGCCGATGGAAGCTCCTCAAAGGCAGAGTCGGCAGCCACTTCTACCGGCCAATAGAAGCAGCTGGTCACTCTGCCTTTGGGGAGCTTCTATCGGCTGATGTTCTATCGGTAGTAGATCATGGTATTCTAGCCTAGGCTACCTGCATGGTGCTCCTAAAGGCAAGTTTTCTCCCCCCCTTCCCTTCCCATTTCTCTTCACCTCGTGTAGTTCTAACGAATGATGTGAGAAATGGTAGGGAAATGCATGGTTTAAATAGGCCTAAATTTTGGGGGCGGGGCTTAATTTCACCTCATGCCTAGAAATCATGCTGGGCCTTCCTATTGGTGGAGGCCGTATTGTTGGAGAAACACGGTATTAACTCAGTGTCAGTTCTTAGCAACCACACAGATGGACTCCAGTTTAGTCTTTCAGGTCTTCCTGTGGTACACACACTGTCACTGAAATCAAGTCCATTCATCTTGCTGCTGGTTATTCTTCTTTTATTACTTTCACCTTTCCCAATATTGTGGTAGACATCTCAAGGAAATATGTTTTCACTTAATATAACCGCTATGGTCATTTGTGTCTCAAATGAGAACTCTGAATTGATTTGTTCCACTGTCCATTTGTTTCTTTTCTTGGCTATCTGTTGCACATGTCTTCTCCAACAGCAATGTTCTTTCTATACTGCTTCTTCGTGTCCAATGTTTGCTTTCAATAAATGGGACAAAAAAGAAATTCTGTGGCTTGCATAATTCTGACATCTGTAGGTATTCATAGGTTGTGGCATCTGAATATTTTTTCTAAGGCCTTTAGACACTCACCTTTTAATCAGCATAAAACTTGAATGAAAAAGGAAAAAATATACAGTCTTGTCTCACTTCTTTGCCACCCAGGGGGCAGTCTGATTTATCATGTTACATCTGGACACAATTAGTTAAAATTAGAAGAATGTTCCCATCATTATCACAATCACTATTTGTTTTAGCAATAATGACATCCTCACATTCAAGCAACTCTTAAAACAAGATCTAAAAATAATTCATGAAATGGATGACCTAAAGTTATTTGAAAATCTAAAAGAAAACTTGAATCTCTACTGGAGACAGTCCATATATTTAGTGAGGATATAAGAATGCACCTTTGTCTATACAAATGTGCAACTTTGAAGACTGAAGGAGGCAACATTGTTAAAGAAGACTGATTACAGCTAATGAATGCAAATGCCATGGAACAATTGACACCAGAAAAAGGTTTATTAAGGATTAATGGGAAGCTTCTGACTTACTACATGAACAATTTTGATTATATCAAACAAATTTTAAAAATTGAAAACAAAATTAGGCATGGGGTATATAATTAAAGCCATAAACACTTGGGCTGTTCCTTTAGTCAATATAGTGTGGGTATAATTGATTGGGCTCAAGCTGAATTAGACATACTTGATTAATAAACCCAGGAAAATTAATGACCATGCTTTCTACACAGGAGGTGAAATTGGTAGGTCGCCAGAAGTAAAGGTGAGAGAGAATTACTCCAAGTCAAACAAACAAGGGTAGAAGAGAAATATAGCCTGAATGTTTATAATAGGCACAAAAAGAAAGTACTACTGGTAGAAGTTTGTAAAACCTAATTAATGCCTGGAAATGTAAACCTCTTCATACTCAGTATGATATTGAAAGAAAATAAAATCAAAATTTGACTTGGCAGTGGCTAAAATCCTTAAAAAGAAATTGAACAATAATCATGGCAGCTCAAAAGCACAATATGCAAGCAAACATTAATGCCAAAACTGAAGATATTTCAAATGATAACAAATACTATGTAAGATCAAAGAATACCTTATTAGTTGCTTAGCAAAACTAAGCCAAATTGAGTATATAATCAATGGACAGAATTGCAAAAAATTGCCATTGGAATTTATGTAAGCCATTTGGTTTCACAAAAGCTATGGAATCATAAACTTGAAAAAGCCTTAGAAAGTAAAGACAGGATTGTGTGAATTATGGATCAGTACATTCTTGAAAGGCAACAAACTATTATTATTAAGAAGAAGAAATGTTCTATAAATGTAGCAATCGAAGGAGATACTTGAACAAATTTGAAAAACAAATGGAAAAAGTAGCAAAATATTATGATTTGCAAATTGCAGTGAATGACTTTGGAAGGAAAAAAAAATCCCCTAACACCAATGTAATTGCATTGTTGGAGCCATATTACATAATTCATCAAATATGTGCAGGTTTTAAATTTATAAGACTTAATAGTATTGACTTTGCCAAAACAAAACAAAAACCTCTTGCTGGGAACTTTCTACATAGTATGACAATACTTCTATGAATTCTAGGCTCTTCGTAAAACCTAACCATTGGAAAGAACCCAATCTAATGATATTCATTGGATTAATAGATGATGATGATGATGACATACCCCAAAGGAATATTCCATCTGAAATCTAAAATTTGCTGGGCAGATAGGATACTTAAAAACTTTCTGTAAGTTAGATTATGTTTCTACTTTTTTTTAAACTTTAGAACAAATGTCCCTAAAACAATGTGTATGATAGTTTCACTCTTCCTCCTTGCTTATTGTCAGTTATGCAAACCCAGTAACTCATAAAGTAGTTTGGCTAATCTAAAGTAACGTGGAGACAGTTCCTTCTTTGATTCCATGCCATATATCCTTGATTGCATTACTAGGTGGTTGTTGTGTGCTTAGGGCTGTATTCTCTTAAAATATCCTTCCTTCCTTCCTTCCTTCCTTCCTTCCTTCCTTCCTTCCTTCC